GAGAGAGAGAAAGAGGATATATATATATATATATATATATATATATGCATACACACACACATATATATATACATATATATGTATGAAACTAGAAATGGAAAGTTATTGACAATAACATGTATGATTAAGCCACTAAACAGTGTATTCTGGATAGGAAATCACATTATGTATGCTGTGATGATGCTCAGGGAGTGAATGTAAATTAATTAATTAATTTTTAAAATGTTTCAGAAGATTAATTAATTAAAAAATAGAGAAGTAAACTGAAAAAAATCGTCTTGTGTCTCTCCTACTTTCTATTCCTCTTTTTTTTTTTTAAGAATTATTTATTTAATTCCATTTGTTATTATTATTTTTCAATCTGGCCAGAGAGAGAGAAAGAGAAAGGGAGAGAGCAAGCCACCAGGTCAGCAGTCAGCCATATGGGAATCCAGTGCCTCTAACCACCACACCAACTGCCGGCCCCCTCTAAAGCAAGAAGTCACCTCCCCACGGGGGATGTCCACACCACAATCCCTTCTCCTCCATTCTCTTGAGATCTTGGGTACACAGGCACACATGCCCAGTGTGAGTTTTAAACTGCTGGGTTCAGAACTCAAACCATGTTCGACTACGTGGGAGTCCAGCGACACAACCATTATGCCATCTGCTGGTCCCCCTGCTCCTCTCTTTAAGCCCAGCATCTCTCCTGTTGTGCATCTCACCTCCTGCTCTCCCAGCCTTCTCTTGAGTGCTTGTGGGCCAGGGTGTTCTTGCTCTGGTTTCTCTGCCAAGACAATGCGATTAACTTTCTGCCTTCTAGAAATGTATATTAACATCTCATCTGCTGTTCCTTTTCATTGTGAGTACAGTTTTTAACTCTTTTTTTTTTTTTTTAAATTTAGTATAGGGCACATGCATTTGCCAGAGAAAGAGGGAAAGTGAGGAAGCACCTCCTCAAGGGGGTCCACCATGCTGCAACCTCTTCTCCTCCATACTCCTCTCAGGATTTTGGGTGTGCATGCATACACACCTGACATTTTTTGTTGCTGTTGTTGTTGATTTATTTTTGTTTGTTTGTTTGTTTTAAAGAGGTTTTTGCATTAGTGTGTATGCATTCACCAGAGAGAGACAGGGATAATGAGAGGGAAAGTAAGAAATCTCCTCCCCTCGGGGGAACAGCCACGCTTCAATTCATTCTCCTGCTGGAATCTTGGATACACATGCACACGCACCCGGTATGATTTTTTTTTTTTTTTGGAGAGGCTTTTGCCATAGGGCGTGTGCACTCGCCAGACAGACAGAGAGAGACAGAGAGACAGAAAGCGAGAAATCACCGCCCCCCCCGGGGGGATGGTTACGCCGCAATCTCTTCTCCTCCATTCTCCTCTCGGGATCTTGGGCACGCACACACACACGCACACACGCCCTGCTTGAGTTTTAAGCCACCGGGTCCGGGACACAAACCGAGGTCGGCTACATGGGAGTTCAGCGACACAGCCATTCCGCTAACTGCTGGTCCCACACCCGGTATGATTTTCAAGCCACTAAGTCTGGGATTCCAACCCCAGTCTGCCATGTGGGAGGCCAGCGATGTCACTGCTATGTCATCTGCTGGCTGCATGGCTGGCATATATTTTAAGCTGCTAGGTTCAGGACTTGAATCACACAGTCAGCCATGTGGGATCCCGCTCCTGAACCACCATGCCACCGGGCTGGCCCAAACTTATATTTCAGTACTTATTTCATGTTTGCAATCTGGAGATGGAGATTAGTTGGAACCAGTTAATAAATGGTCTTGTAAATATTGTTCGAGTTAGTATAAAACTTACAATGTGAATGCAAATTTCCCCAAGCAAACTATGTACTCTTTTTTATTATTAAGTATACTTATTTATTTCATGAGAACTATGTACTCTTTTTTATTATTAAGTATACTTATTTATTTCATGAGAGAGATAGACAGACAGAGAGAGAGAAACAGGGGCCCCTGGCAAGGTCTACCCCCAAGCCTTCTAGCTAGCCAGGATCGTGGGCATGCCTGGCATGTTCAGGCCGACCCTGGGGATCCCCTGTCTCCACAGCACACCCCATTGCTGTACTACCTGCCACGCCATAGCTGGGCCTGCCCTTTATTATCTTCATTTTGAATTTTTTTATCACTACATCTACCATAGAATGTTCTCTTTCCAAATGAAAGCTAAAACTCTGTAAGAGGCACTCTGAGACAACCGCCTTTAATGAAGTACTAGCATTGTTCAACCGAGAAACCCAACAGCCAGAGGGAAAAGAAAGTTAGGACACTCATCAACAACTTGGCTAACATCAGATCAAGAATATTCTCGTGTTATTTAAAATGTCTGCGTTTGTTTTTTATTAATAAGAGTATTTTTATTGTTTATTACATGACAAGTTTTGTTTTAGATTTTTCAGTTTTGCGACCAGCAGATAGCATAGTGGTTATGCCACTGGACTGCCACAGGGCCAGCCATGGTTTGAGACCTGGCCCCTGTGGCTTGAAAATCACGCTGGGTGCGTGTGTGTGCGTGCCCAAGATCCCAGGAGGAGAATGGAGGAGAAGGGATTGTGGCGTGGCCATCCCCCTGGGGGGTGATTTCTCACTTTCCCCTCTATCTCTGTCTCTGTCTCTCTCTCCAGATAAAGCACATACCCTATGGCAAAAACCTCTTAAAAAAAAAAAAGATTTTTCAGTTTTGAGGTTGGTTTTTATAACAAATGTTTGGTTTAATTGAAAGAAATGCTATTTGTTATTAATTAGTGATGTGCCAATGACGTACATCAAAATAAGAGCTCCCTCCCATCTGTCTGCAGATACAGCGCTCCCTCCACCATACCACTCGTGATCCATTACCTTCCCAGAGCTCGCCCTCACCCCTGCTCTTCTTTCTTGCTAACACAGTCCTGATTTTGTCTGGGGTCAGCTGAGCTCCAGGGGATGAATCTCAAGGGCCTAGGTTACACGTGACTAACCCATTTTTCACTGCCATTTACTGGGTTTCTCAGACTCCCCTGTAAATGTGCATATCCATGCGACATGGTCATGACCAACAGGATAGGATCTACTAGGAGGTTTCCAGAAGGCCGTTTAGGGCCGGCGTGGGGACTCAGCAATGTTATGGAGCCCCCAAACTTTCCTCCAACCCTCATTCTGCATCCTCGGTGCATTGGCTTTTCCCACTGTCTGAATGCTTGGGTCACTGCTCTTCTGCCATCTGCAGCCGAGGGCGCTCCTGATGAACTTCGGCTCAGCATCTCAGAGGGCTGCATTCCT